CCATGTTTTCAAAATGTGTGCTCCACTGCAAATGTTGAATAAGCCGTCATGACTGTTGGGTATGTACTTCAGTGTATGTCGTTTAGAAAAGCCCCTCGCAGCCATAATGCCGTCTGGGCGCAAAGAAATAGTCACTCAGGCGCCACCTACATGGCGCGATTTCTGCGTCGTGCGACTCGTCCGAACCTTTCGATATGCGATCAGTAGTGGGGATCCTTCCGCCTTTCCCCTTCTTCTACTAACGATAGTATCACGATTCACCTTTGCGTGAAAATGGGCATCACGAAGATCAAGAAGAATAGCTTGGTAGACAAAGTATTAGGAACAATGCTTATAAAAATAATCCCTAAGGCTTATATTGCTTTCGCAAAGGTTGAGGAAATCTTGAGAAGCATCAATTTCCACAACATGACTCAATTTGGGATCTCCGGGTCCACATCGCCAATTCGCAACTTTTCTCAAATTGTTTATATTGTCATCTATACAATCTTAACAATGTCTTCACTCGTGACTCCTGAGTCTCAATTTTAATCATGTTGCTTCGCAAATAGGTGAGTCGCAACTACAATAGGCCAATAACTTATCGTAAATCCGGAGGCTGAATGGTGTGGATGAGTTAGTTATCGCAGAAATTGCGCTGTATGAGTTGCAGTTGAGAACGTGCGCCCCATAGCAGAGTGGCTGCAATGGCCAAACGCCAAACGACCGCCTCCCGTGTACGTGGCCCAAGCCGGCTCTGGGACCCTACTCCCTGACTCAGGGGTTTTCCGGCCCGACAGTGTCCATTAAGTGCGACAAAGGTACCTCCTGGAAGGATATCCCGAAAAGCACTTTCATTGTTACCTGTGCAGAAATTGAATATCGAATGAGAACCACGTAAGCAGAAGGCATATAGGCTCCGTATAGACGAAGGACTAGGAATAATCTGCTCAACATATGTCACCAATTCGATTATAATGTTTTAGTTTCTACCTCCATCTTCATTTTCCTCTTCTCGTTCTGATCGACCGGCGGCGTATGTTTATCTCGTGTTCAATGTAAAACTTTCGTAAAAGGCGACATCACAAAGTTTCCTATGATCCCTTGTTGCGATCCTCGCTTCTTCATGCATCACTTCCCAAGATAACCTCGCTCCTTCTCTAGAACCAAACCTGCCGCAGACAAGATACTCTGCGCAACACCGTTATTGATAACAACGCACCGCACTACATGCTGTGCTTTGTTATAGCATAGCACGTTGAGAAGGGAACACGTATTTTTTTTCTCATATGAGACGCTACTGCTCATCTGTATTATGCTCTAACATGTATTTGCCTTCAGAGTACAAAAAATTTATGGAAAACTGTTTACGTAGTTCATTGGTTCTGATTTTGTGAGAACTGATCCTGTTAATACTTTCTGCTCGATATTGGTACTTGCAGGAGTGTGGTGCGATCAGATCTGCTACGATTAATCTCCCTGATCGAGCCCTGAATGAACAGGCATCCCGAGAGGAGAAAATGATCTCTCATCAAAGGTAACGAGTAGCACTTGTAATAAAAGTGTTATCCTCACTTGTTCTCTATCTCGTTTTTCGATTCGATCTTGTCGATCTTGTTTTCTAATTCAAATTTTACTTTGTCACAGTACTAATTACAATTTGATTTTTTGCATACTACAATTGACAGTTATTATAATTTGATTTTTCGCATACTACAATTTTGCTATTAACGAATATAGAAATTTAAACTTGAATTGAGTCCAATAGAAAAGTTGTGATGCTCAAAGCATGGAGAGGTAGTGCCAATTGAACCAGTTGCCCTCAATGACGGACACGGTTGCCGAGGCCTAGTGGCAATGCTCTTCACGCAAGCAGTGAAGGCTTGCTCCCCGTCGTCGTGCCAATTTTGCAAAAGGTGCTTTCTGTTTTATGAAAGCTCGCGAACGAGCGCTCGAATTTTTGTAACTCATTCAAATTAGTACCTTAATCCGATCACCTATCCGTGAACTATCACGGCGCCAGTCAAAAAATTCTTTTCACCTCCTTTCTGTAAAGCTGTTTCATCTTACGCAGTTTTAGAGAGACAGCGTGTATAAGGCTCGCAATTTGTGGATATCATATACATATTTTTCACTTTTTTGAAATTGCTTTACGAATATTGAGTTCTTTAATGCTGTTTTTTTGTTCAAGGTGATTTCCCTTGTGTAGGTCTCACAAGGAAGGTCTTTCAGGGCGTGGGACGCTTTTTGAAAATGGTTTTTTGCATGGTATAGGGGCATGAGCACTGAGTATAAAACT